AAAAGAAGGGAAGCCCATAAAGTGCATTGACTATAGACAACTAAACAACCAGACCTTACGTGATTCAGTCTTATGCGTTTCCACGGGGCGAAGAGATCTTAGGCGCTCTTTGCGGTAACAGCTGTTATTACGTACTTAATCTGCAGTATGGATATCAGCAAGCAAAGCATGATGAATCACCTAAACAGAGGACAGCCTTTACAGTAGGACCTCCAAGATTTTTATGAGTTCAATCTCCCTTTTTTGGACCTATCAACAGACCAGCAACATATCAGAGGATAATAGAAGAGTTCAAAGGCGACCTTCATCTCAACATCTGATTCATATTCATAGACGACCTATCATATTTTCTGACAGCTATGAGGAACACATTGATCGTCTTGAGAAAGTCTTACAGAGATAACAAGAAAGTGGACTGAAGTTGTCACCCATGAAATGCACCTTCTTTCAAGATTGAGTAAAATACATAGGCCACATAGTCTCTAAGAATAGAAATGAGCCTGGTCCAGCCAAGTTAGAGAAAGTTTATAATTGGCCAAAAGCAACGTCACAAGAAAGAGTTTTATTCGGATTTGTTAGTTATCATAAAAAAGTTATTATTGAAAGACTTGTAATTTAACAAAATCTTCATGCCTATACCAGATCTAATGCCAGCGCAATTCAAGTCTAAGACCAACTCGAAACAACCATCGAACTGGATTTGGGGTGAACAACAAGAAAGAGCATTCAACCACTTGAAGTCTCAACTACAGAAGCCGCCAGTGTTTGGATTTCAACGTTATAACAAACCTTTTGAGCTGCATTCTGGCGCCTCTATGCTAGAACTTGGTGCTGTACTCTATTAAAAATAAGAAACCAAGTAAAGAACTGTAGCGTATGTCTGTCATATTCCTTACTTGGTACAGGGATTTTCCGAGAAAAAAATGATGGGTTAAACCTAGTATTATAGCTAGCTAAACCTCCCACTTGTATGACACTTTTTTATAGTTCCAAGCTTAACTTCCTCGCTTTGAAATGGGCTCTCACTGAGAAGTTCAAAGATCATCTTTACAGAAAGCACAGTAATGAAAAAATGATTGTACTGGGTCCAAGAACATAGAAAGCCATCAAAACACCATCAAAATATATAGCCATGCAACATCTGGTTCATCTACAACTTTGACAAGCAAATTCTTGAAGAAGGCATACTATTCAGAGTGACCAACATAGACCAAGAGCATGTGAATCAACTAGTTTTACCAGAATCCTGTATTACAACAGTCCTAACAGCACTACACGATGACATGGGACATCAGGTCCATGACAAGACACTTTCAATAGTTAAGAGATCGATTTGTATGGTATGGCATGACCAGAGATATTGAAAACTGGATAAGCCATTGTAGCAGATAATACGAAGTAAGACACCTGTAACTGTCCAGACAACGAGAAAGTACCACTAATCAACATCGTGTACTCTCAACTGTTGAAACATAAATGCACAGACTACCTGTCCTTTGCGAAATCCCAAAATCGTCATTTAATGGCAATACCTCCTATAATGAATCATCAGACTGTCTTTGTTAAAAGGAACAGTAGGTACCGTACAGGTAAATCTTGACATTCTGAACACTTCTAATATCGACATTTTAACCCAATATATAATGGTTTACAAGATAATAGACAACTCTTGTATTTCACCCCTATGTCCTATTTAAGTTTGTTTGGCAGGCAGAATCATTAGACAACTTTTTTTAAAATAGATACCCCAAGCTTGATTGAGGTCAAGTTCCAATTGGTCCAGTTGTTTCAGAGGAGAAGTCACCTTTAGACCAGGTGAGCTTATAAAATTTGGCTTTTTTCAAATTGATATATAATTGTGCCTCCTTATGCTGAATACTGCCTTTGAAATTCACATTCGGAAGTTGATTATATTATATTCAATTTTGATCACAATTGTGTTTTTAAAAATGTATACACAATTTTTGTTTTATTTTGATTATGAATATGTGAACAGAGATGACATTAGGAAAGCAATAGAATAAAAAAGAATATAATCACTTATCATCACCCAAAATGATGTTGTCAAATTTCATCAAACGATACAAAAAAAAGTCTGATAAGCTAACAGTCATGTTAAAATTGTTTTCTAATATGACATAAGGCAATCTCAAATCTGCATTGTTTATTTAAATAGAAATATGAAACTATTCACAACTTATGATACATATATATATATAAGAGCTTTTTTTTCAAGAGTTTTAATACATCTAGCAAGCTGTTGTGATAATTCATATAAAAAATTGAATAAAACAGAATATTCATTTTGAAATATTTTTGAATATCTTCATGTGTCAAAAAAGTAAGCAGGAAAATTAGCAAATATTGTTTCAATCACACTTTTAGTTCTAATGATAATTTTATATGAAAGCAAAAATCCATTACTTAAAACTTCTGATGAAACAGAATACTATTTACAACATAAATGTAATAGTCTTGGTTGGCTGAGATGAATCAATTATAACTGCTGGAGTATAACTGACAAATTCTTTATCTTTCATAACTGGCTGTTTAATAAATGACTAGAGGTTCTCTTTGTAGAATTGTTTATAAGTGTTTTGTATTGTTTATAGTGTTGTAAGTAATCTTATCTGAAGCAAAGTGTAAGGCTGAATAATATACCACCTTTACATTAAATAATTCAAAATACCTTTGAAATAGATGTTTCCTGATATTCATGTTGTTGGTCTGGGTATGATTCTGATTTTTAAGAGTGGTACATGTGTTGTGTATTGTGTGAGTATTTAAATCTTTTCATGGGATACACTAAATGATGACCAAAGACTTTTAGATAATAGTACAGTAAATCTTATAAATTAAAAAATAATATACACAATAATAAATAAAATGCTCCGCAGGGCGCAGCTTGATACGACCGCAGAGGTCGAACCCTGAACAGTTGGGGCAAGTATGGACACAACATTCAAGCTTGATACAGCTCTGAATTTGGATTGTGATTAAATATTTGACACAGCATAGGTTTCTGAGACAGAATGAATGTGGTCTAAGAACTTACAAATTTTAAATTTGACATTCACCTATTATGGTCCAATATCCAAAATCTAAATACATGGTTAGATTCAGCATATCAAAGAACCCCAAGAATTCAATTTTTGATGAAATCAAACAAAGTTTAATTTTGGACCCTTTTGACCTCAATGTGGACAAAGTTGATAACGGGGCCCAAAAATCAAAAATCTAAATACATGGTTAGATTCAGCATATCAAAGAACCCCATATATTCAATTTTTGTTGAAATCAAACAAAGTTTAATTTTGGACCCCGATTTGGACCAACTTGAAAACTGGGCCCATAATCAAAAATCTAAATACATGTTTAGATTCAGCATATCAAAGAACCCTAAAAATTCAATTTTTGTTAAAATCAAACTAAGTTTAATTTTGGACCCTTTGGACCTTAATGTAGACCAATTTGAAAACGGAACCAAAAATTAAGAATCTAAATACACGGTTAGATTCGGCATATCAAAGAACCCCAATAATTCAATTTTTGATGAAATCAAACAAAGTTAAATTTTGGACCCTTTGGACCTCAATGTGGACCAATTTAAAAATGGGGCCCAAAATCCAAAAACTTAATACACGGTTAGATTCAGCATATTAAAGAACCCCAAGAATTCAAGAATAAAACCCCATTGAAATTGATCAAGAAATAAGCAATTTATACGAAGTATCTTCTTTTGCACAATACTGTGCAATTGAATATTTCTTGCTATTGCGCAATACTGTACAATTGACAATTTCTTGCTATTGCGCAATATTGTGCTATTGGATATTTCTTGCTATTGCGCAATACTGTGCAATTGAAGATTTCTTGCTATTGCGCAATACTGTGCAATTGAAGATTTCTTGCTATTGTGCAATACTGTGCAATTGAAAATTTCTTGCTATTGCACAATATTTATTATATAATAATTACACATCCTGTTTGGTGTGTATCTCCTACCATATCATTATTATTTGCTTTTAAATATTAATCAGAAATAACCAACTTAAAATGGAAAATTTTAAAAGAAAAAAAAAAGGAAAAAAAAAAAAAAAAAGAAAAACAAACAATCCCCCCTCCCAAATTTTTTGAACCCCCTTATGATTCATCACCCCCAAACTCAATACCAGCCTTCCCTTTGTGGTATGGTACCTTGCAGTACAATTTCAGAGAGATCCATACACTTGAACACAAGTTATTGTCTGGAAACTAGAAAAATGCTTATTTTTGGCCCCTTTTTGGCCCCCAATTCCTAAACGTTTCGGGCAATTACCCCCAAACTCAAATCCAGCTTTCCCTTTGTGATATGGAACCTTGTAGTACAATTTCAGAAATATCCAAACACTTACACACAAGTTATTGTCATGAAACTAGAAAAATGCTTGTTTTTTGCCCCTTTTTCGGCCCCTAATTCCTAAAATTTTGAGGCAATTACCCCCAAAATCAATTACAGCCTTCCCTTTGTGATATGAAACCTTGTGGTACAATGTCAGAGAGATCCATACACTTACACACAAGTTATTGTCTGGAAGTTACAAAAATGCTTATTTTTGGCCCCTTTTTGGCCCCTAATTCCTTAACTGTTGGTACCATAACCCCAAAAATCAATCCCAACCTTCCTTTCGTGGTATTGAACCTTATGGTAAAATTTCATGGAGATCCATTCACTTAAACTAAAGTTAGAGTGCGAAAACCAATGTGTCTTCGGACGACGACGACGACGACGACGACGCCAACGTCATACCAATATACGACCAAAAAATTTTTAATTTTTGCGGTCGTATAAAAATAACTAAAATCATAAATAAATTGTTCTTATATACATAATTGTTCAATATCAATGACAAATCACATCTATAATCTGGTCCAAGACAAACTTACAAATTAGAAGAAAAAAACTCATATGGTTGAAATCACCTTTGATAGGGCAAGACTTTCATTTGAACCACTCTTACCTGTGTATTTTGCTTATTTCTGTCAACCAGGGCGGTTCAAATGAAAGTCTTTCCATTTATAGATCACAACACTGTCAGAAACACCAATTTACATTTATTCTTAAATCTACCATTCTACTCATATCAACAATCCTACTGATATTGTTGAGTTGATTGATTGATTGTTGGTGTTTAACATCACTTTCAGTACTATTGGCTAGGTATAGTTCCTAAATATTGAAGATGATAAAAGAAATGTGGTAAGATGTGGTAATGAGAATCACATGATCAATGATTGTTAATGTTACCCGTCATTTGACTGCAAATCTGTCTGCATTGCTTCCTTTCTTTTTAAAGAGTTTAATGAATTCTTACTCGATACAAATTTATCTTGTTTTGAGATCTGTAAAGAACTAACATGAAACACTTTGTTATTAACTGTCAAAAAATCTAAACTTAGTTGTGATGACACTGATCCACATTTCCTTTTTCCATTATTAAGTTGTTCATTTTTCTTTCGTTCTTTTTCTAAATCAAATTTTCTGAAGCTGCGACAACTTTTAACACATAAATACAACCCAATAGTCAACATTATGCCAAAAATAAAAGACCCTGATGCAACAACAATCAGGTTTAACAAAGAGTAAGTTTTCTCTGTCTCTTCTCGTTCTTTAATAGGTGCTACACCAATTCCTGAAATATAGACAAATGTTTTGTAGGCAAGAATTAATTACACATTTTCTACAAAAACCAGTACTCCTATGGGAAGATTATTATCAAATTATGATTGAAGACTAAAAGGGATACTTACTATCTGTTTACCAAAGCTACCATTTTATGCTTTCTTTCATAATGATTTACCATAGAGTAAACATAAGGAGATGTGGAATGATTAACAATGAGACAAAAGAACAAAGAGTTAAACAAGTTTAGGATAGTTATGCAGTAATTGTTTTGTCAAAATATATTTGTTTTTGTTATGCAAATGTTTTCCTATAAACCCAATTTTTGCCATATACATTTATTAGGAAACCAATCATTATCATTATTTATTGCCAGTAACTGTTAAGTGTCCAAAAACCCAACAGGACTTGTTAGTTTTATTGAAAGATACTGGTAAAGTGGAAAAACAATGAATCTTATGTAAAATAAATTATATTTTTCAGTGTGAGATACTTTCTGAACTAAAATAAAGATTGAAATTAAGTGTTTTTATTTCTTTAAAATTATCTGAACTTCATACTCCAAGCTTTAAATACAAGGGGATATCAGTTTATTTGGTAATATTGGTAATATTACACACAAAAATAGTTTTAATCATTGCAATGTGTATCCTGCTGTATTTTTTCCCATTAAAAAGATTGTTAGTTTTAGAAATTGACAGTATCTACAATAGCTCAGATTTTCTGTTTTTTTTTCTCTCACTATCTAAAGATTACTACAAATTTTAAAGATCAGAAATTGATCATTAATATGGTAATGTATTCTAAAGAATTGTTATGATAGAACCCATGCCCTTGTACATTTCTCACTGTATCCAAAAGTACTAACTGAATGGTATATATTCGCATCCTCTATTCTCTATTCTATGACCTTGACATTCCTCATCTGATGGATGCTCAAGTTGACACTGTCTGTGTCGATACTGTAAATCTTCTACTCCACACACAGTCCAATCAGACCAGTGATTCCAACCAGCTGATGCTATAAGAAGAACATTGTATCATCCCTATCAAGCTACCAAATACATATATGATATCCTTTTACATTTCAAATGATTATCAATAAAACTGTACTGGTAACATAAACTCTAGGGGCAACCTTAACCTTGCTGTAGTTTTGATTTCTCCAACCAATTGATAGAGGCTTTCCAGTGATGATCAAAATATAGAACTGAGACTGAACAACAAATAAAGGTATTTGATTTATTGATATTTCTGTGTATACCATGTGTATATCTTATCAAGTATCATTTGTCCTGTTTCAAAAACGCCTCTTAGTGTGAAATATTTGTGTATTCTGTTTGTCATAGACTCATTTGGCTAATCTTTTACAATCTTATTTCATTCAGGTACGTAGTGGTGCATTTTTGTTTGGAATTTTTTATGTTTTTTGGGGCTTTCATAGGAAACTGGAGACATCAAATCCAATCTGTTAATCATCAGGGAAGGACATTTGGAAATCATTTTAATTACAAACTGTTCTTAAATATCACAAACTAAATAATGAAAAGTGACGGTAACAAATTACCTATATGCTGTGCATGCAGCTAAACTACTTGTAATTTTCTTTCTATTTGAATATACTGTAATTGCATAGATTTGTAGCATCAACTCAAAATAATTATTCTCCATTTTATCAATATATCTAACTGAATGTGCCTACTTATTACAAGGGAATAATAAAAAACAAATGAACAAATTAATTCTGTATCTGTATAACTATATTATATTGTCTGTTCTTACCATTACATAGGGGAGTTGTGCATGGTTTGTAATCAGTGTCATGTCCTTTGCAAGGAAAAAGAAATTTAGTTCCTTGAACAGAACTGTCACATCGTCTCACTCTGACATGACTTCCATGTCCACATGTAGCTGAACATACGGAATATTCTGACCAACATCCCCATAAACCTTGAAAATTTCAATACTTTGTATAGATATAGATAAAAAGCAATCAATTATCAGTATGTAAAATATATAAAAAAATAGCTACAAATTTTTTTTGGAAAATAGCTATATACATTCAAGGACATTGATGTTTTCTACATTTTAGGATGGCAACTAGGTAGAAACGGTAAATTAGTAAAACTGGGGTATCTTGAACTTTTCACTGGTACTAGGAATTTTATTCATGGATGGGTTAATTTGCCTGTTGGTATTTGTAATACAAGGTTGAAATCTAAAGGATTACCTTGGCAAGAATGTATGTTACACTGCCTAGCTTCTATGTAATGACCTGAACAGTCTTTTCCTAAACCCATTGGCTGTGGATTATCACATGATCTCTTCCTATGTTGAGTTCCTCCTCCACAATCTTTAGAACAGTCAGACCATGGTTGCCAAGACGACCATCCACCATCCTTTGTTATGTTCCTTGCTATTTCTGACGGGACAAGAATGCGTTATAGACAAAATACAATATTTCAAGAAAATTCCATAGAGCATTCCTAGTGACATTAAAAACAAATTAGATCACAAATCAGTTTGTTTACAGTACCTTTTAAAACACTTTGATAAAATATCTTAATTAGCTGTCAGGAGTAAAGTTAATACCAAATATTAATATCAAAGCAATAACTAAAGTACCTTATACTTAGAATTAAGACACCTTTAAGGTCTGTCATACAGGAACTACAGAAAGATATAATCCTATTTACTCACTATATATGCTGATTCTGCAGTGACATTTCAGATTTCAATAATTATAATATATTTATTACCAAAAAACTTTTAAAACAGGGAAACGGATATCATACATCGTTTTTGTTAGATTTCATGACAAATATCAGGACTTATTGTGGAAGTATGATTACACTTGCAGGAATTCTATAAAAAATGGTATTCAAATCAAGCTTTTAAGGGAAATATTATTTTCAAAGCAAATATGTTTAAGAATTTATATCGAAACCTTTTTATTTAGAATCAAGACTTATTTATAAAATTTATAGTTATACAGTTATACTGTTGTAAATTAATTCTGCCTGATACTTTTAGTGATAAATATTAAATTTGCTTGCTTGTAATTTGAAACAACACCTAAAATGTTTTTTGTTTTTTTTTCTGTAGTGTAATTATGTAGATTTTACTTTAGAACATTGCCCATAATAATTTCTGACTGCACTGCTGTATAAAATCTACTTGATTAAAACATAACTAAATTGCTATATATGTACAGTTATGAGAACTCATGATCGTACATCCTTTGGATACTGTTTACTTATATTTTGGCATTGCACAGATCATGTGTTTCTCAGACTGTTCATGACGTCTTTACAATAAATTCATTGGATGTGTACTGATTGATACTTTAGTCTGTGTGCACATGATTTATTCATCAGTTGTAATTGGCTTTGAACTAGCTTTCAGTAACTGTAAGTACTCTTTTATCAGTGCTTTGTGTCTTGACTTTATGTTAGTTATTTTTTGTGCTTCATACAGATCTATTATGTTTAGCCAATTGCAACTAAATTTTACAGTGTGTTCTTTTGTTGTGCTGTTACAACACTGTCCCAGGTTAGGGGGAGGGTTGAGCACTCACAAACATGTTTAATCCCACCAAATTCTATATGTGCTTGTCCCAAAGTCAGGGGCCTGTAGTTCAGTGGTTGTCGTTGGTTCATGTCTATCATGCTTGTATTTGTTTTTTGTATTTTGTATTGTTATAAATTAGGCCGTTAGTTTTCTAGTTTGAATTGTTTCACATTTTTCATGTCAAAGCCTTTTTTAGCCAACTTAAGGTGAGGGTTTTTTAATTGTTGAAAGCCATATAGGGACATAATTGCTAATGATTCCACTTCATTTGAGCTCTGGTGAATAGTTGTCTCATTGACAATCATACCACAACTCCTTTTCTTATATTACCTGGTCAACTTCTTTAAATGACAATATACATAATAGGAAAAAACTAATATGACATTTTCTGTTTTTACCTTTTTCAATAAAAGTGTATTATTTTCATGAACCTATTCAAGATTTTTCTGAGCAGTTCCACCTTTATATTCAGTTGATAAATTTATTTGTAATAATTCTGGCAGTAAGGCATATATTAAATCATGAGGGTTGATAAGTCACATTTTTTTATTATTTTGGTTTGCATTAATATCATAAGACAAGGCTGTCACTTATAGTCTCTACAAAAATCATCAAATATATGCAAATAAATATTACTAAATATACATACATGTCATACAATCATTACCAACTTTGTCTGAAATGAACTGTTACGGTGATTTGATTCTTAGAAAGGCTTTATTTACAACATAGATCATTAGCTATACAACACACAATTTGTACAAAGTCTTTTCGAAAGTACATTTATTTACATAAACCTTTTATAACTTCTACATTAACATCATCAGCTAAGCATTCATTTCATTTTATGATTTTTCTTCCTTGCATATAAATTCTTGTTAATTTTTTGGGGCTACTTCCCCTTTTTGTTCCCTTGCTTAACTTAGGCATGTATAACAATCCTATCATCATTATATACAAATATAGTTCCCCCCATTCCTTAATGTGGGACCATGCATACATTCACTTACAAAATGGCTCTATCTTAAATGACTTATGATATAACCTTAGTTTTGTTTTTGAACTATTTATTCCCTGGAACTAGGTCTAGTAACCTTACAATAGAGGTTTAACAGAGATTTTATCCCTGATTAGTTTTGACACTATGCCTCTTATGCTTGCTTTTACAACCATTTCAAATATTTTATTTGACTAAATGAATGCTAGAAAATTCAAGTGAGAGAGAGCTTATTAAAACTCTAGGTAATTGGAATTGTTTTTTGGTTAAGGTTTTACAGCACTTGAATAGTCTTGATGGACCGGACATCTGGATTATATGACAGTTTTAACATATGAAATGGTTATTAACTGGTAATGTGAATTATTGAAGGAATGACCTGTATATTTTTGGACTGAAAAATCGCAAAGTGGTCCTCATTTAGTCAAATGGGTATTGTGGTTACCTTATAAAATCATGTTACAAATATTCTTTCCAGAACACTGATTTTGTCACCTTTATCTGCCAACAATTAGTAACCTTTAAATCTATAACAATTAATACGGGAGATTAAAAATTGGGAAATCTTCAGATAAAATGATAATCATTACACTTTGAACCTTTGATTCTTTGAGTATAAGTAGAATAAGATTCTTTTCTGCATTCCTTGAATTTCTTATAGAAAATTTAAACACTACAAATGTACAAGGCACTATATATATTCTATATATATATAAATGTAAAAAAAAAACAAATGCAAAAATATAAATAAATCTTATATTTACATCTGTACAATATTAGCACTGATTAAAATATTTGTAGAATATAAAAAATGCCATTTTCAACATTGCTTAAATCTATTAACTGTATGAATAATTAAATTTACTGTTAATATGTCTATGATGATTAAACATCCCTTTGATTTCATCAATGAGATAAATAAACATAATAACAGAGACATGTCTTGCCTGCTTTGTAATTTGTAGCAAGATAAAAAAAAATAAAAGAGTGTCTATTTTATTCTAAAACTGGCTTAACAATTAATTAAATTCAAGGACCAGCGGCTCTTTTCACAAAAAATCTTAAGAGTAAAATTACTCGTAAGTCATACACATTTCAGTATAACTTACGATAAGTTTTAATCGTAAGATTTTTTGTGAAAAGAGTCGCAGGACTTAGGATTCCAGCCTCAAAAGCTTCCTCTAAAAACAAGACAGAAATTGAATATTGGAAATCTGAAATGTTTGATCCAGCAAAAATGTTATCAGAAAGGATGATAATTCCAGGTGAGGAACACCTGTGCATTAGGAAAGTAACTACAGATCTAAAAAAAATGTTTTTTTGTCAACTAAAAATTTGTAAAGTATCCATAAGAAAGTAAAATCATGCCAGTATAAAATCACTGGGTGCAAAGCTAGGGTACCAGCTACTGGACAACTGCACTTTGGGAGGATAATCTTCAAATACATGGATGTTAATGCAATAGTAAAACAAGTATAAATGGTCTCTTATTGTGAAATGAATCTACCAGTAATTACATTATAGAAAACTTATTATCAAGTTGATAACACTATTAATGCAACTGCCTTCATAACTGAGAGTAACAACTACATGTCGTCTATTGTGGAATTCAATCAGGTCAGGCAACAAACTATAATCTCGTACTAGTATATCAAAATCACATTAGCTTTTATTTACATATTCAGTGCATGTATTTTGAATTTAATTTTTAAAACTATTTTGGTTTACTGAATTCAAGAAACATTTGGGATATCAATTTCTTCTTTTATCTAATCATTTGACCAACTAAAGTTTTGCCACCTAAATTTATTGATCTCTTGCACCTTACTTGCAAATCCGAAACAAGTTTTTTAAATTAATATTAAATTCTAAATATTAAATTTTGATAGTTAATATTTCAACCAGCATTTCAACATATAAGTGTGAATAATTTACATATTATTATTAAAAAAATTTGAAGAAACCTCCCCACTTCAGATTTACAAATAGGCTCAGCATAGGTTTTATAGAGGTTTAAACAATATCAAGTTTATGCAAATCTATTTAATTTGTTTCAGTCTTTTGGCTATGGGTTATAAGAGAGTCTTAAAGAAAGTCAACCGGGATCTTTTATTTTGATTAATATAATATGCAAGAAATGTTTTAGGGTAAAATATATATATGATTACATGTACTACATAAAGAAGAAATTACAAGAGAATGGCATGACAACATAACAATATTTGGATTTGGATTCATGCTCAGTTCTGGAAGATTTGATAAAGCAGACGTTACATAGAATATCTTTAATAATGAAAATTTTCAGTGAATACACAGTCCCTTGATGCCTAATTTCTGTGATTTAAGTGGAAGCAAATAACATTCAAAATTTAAGTAATTGATTCACTTCAATTCATTTAAACTGTGAAGATCTGTACAATACTAAAAAACGATTCATAAAAATAAGAAACAAAATTATAAAGTTCACATCAAATAATCAGCACATAAATCCAGATATCTTGTACTTAATAAAACGTCTTCAAAGGTACATAGCATTCATGTGAAAATATACTGGCTTTATAAAATATCAGGGACCAGCCCTTATAACTACTTAAAGTATAGTACAAAATAAACAAAATAAAAAGTAATACAGAAGTGGTGTTAATATACATCATGCTGTTGCTAAGGAAATGTTGCTATGGTAACAAGAATGAACCCGCATTCTGTGAGTCTATATTCTAAAGGTGGAAGAACAAGAATCCACATTTCACATGTGCTGTTATATATTTTAGTATTCCACACATCCATGTTGACGGAGTCACATACTACTTGCTATGGTTATGATGACGGAATCACACGATGCAAATTTTCTGTATACAAAATGGTTGAACCATACAATGCTGCTTGCTATTATTATGATGAATACTCTTTGGCAGTGATTGTATTAGATGTTAAACTGGGACTATCTATGACGACACTTGGAACAAACTAAAAATATCCCTAACGTTCGACACTTGCAATAATCTCGGAAATATTGTCTCCTGTATTTGCACATACTTCTAACTGCTCGACTAAGTGGAGCATAAAATGGGTCTATAGTATTTCTAAGCTCACCTGCTTTATGACACGTCCCATCATTTTTAAAACAAAACCTTGTATGTGTTTTCACATAGCTTGTTTTTATCATACTGACATCAGGAACATTTGCTTTGCACATATAACGGAATCTCTGTTCAAAATGTCCACTGGAAGTTGAATTTGTTTTGATCCATTTGGTCCATGGTGCATATTTTTCTAATTCTGAAAAGTACATTGAAAGCTAGTGTCATGCAGTGACTACAAACGTGTATTCTGTCATGAAATCATCATGCTCAGTGTCTCAACTGTGTTTGACTAATTACTTCAATAACTCAATAAAAAATATTCTTATGTTATCACTAGTAGAGTGGACTAGTAACTTTCTGGACTAGTAACTTTCTTACCACTTTATATGACAAACTGATCTAGTAAACTCACTGTGAGGCCAAGAAAAAAAATAATAGAAGATTCTATTCTCATTCAAAGTAAACAAACTGCAGCAGGCAGGTTTATTTTTTTGCTTTTATAAGCGGTTGATTGTAGTCCTGAAATATAATTGATACACTACCAAATGTTCTAGAATATGGACCTCAATGTTAAAATTAACTAATAAAATGCTCCGCAGGGCGCAGCTTGATACGACCGCAGAGGTCGAACCCTGAACAGTTGGGGCAAGTATGGACACAACATTCAAGCTTGATACAGCTTTGCATTTGGATTGTGATTAAATATTTGACACAGCATAGGTTTCTAACACAGAATGAATGTGGTCTAAGAACTTAAAAATTTTAAATTGGACATTCACCTATTATGGTCCAATATCCAAAATCTAAATACATGGTTAGATTCAGCATATCAAAGAACCCCAAGAATTCAATTTTTGATGAAATCAAACAAAGTTTAATTTTGGACCCTTTTGACCTCAATGTGGACAAAGTTGATAATGGGGCCCAAAAATCAAAAATCTAAATACATGGTTAGATTCAGCATATCAAAGAACTAAGAATCATTATTATTTGCTTTTAAATATAAATCAGAAATAACCAACTTAAAATGGAAAATTTTAAAAGAAAAAAAAAGGAAAAAAAGAAAAAAAAGGAAAACCCCCCCCCCCCCCCAAATTTTTTGAACCCCCTTATGATTAATCACCCCCAAACTCAATCCCAGCCTTCCCTTTGTGGTATGGTACCTTGCAGTACAATTTCAAAGAGATCCATACACTTGAACTGGAAACTAGAAAAATGTGTTTTTTGGCCCCTTTTTGGCCCCAAATTCCTAAACGTTTAGGGCAATTACCCCCAAACTCAAACCCAGCTTTCCCTTTGTGATATGGAACCTTGTAGTACAATTTCAGAAAGATCCATACACTTACACACAAGTTATTGTCCTGAAACTAGAAAAATGCTTGTTTTTTGCCCCTTTTTGGCCCCTAATTCCTAAAATATGGAGGCAATTACCCCCATCATCAATCCCAGCCTTCCCTTTGTGGTATGGTACCTTGCAGTACAATTTCAGAGAGATCCATACATTTGAACACAAGTTATTGTCTGGAAACTAGAAAAATGCTTATTTTTGGCCCCTTTTTGGCCCCCAATTCCTAAACGTTTCGGCAATTACCCCCAAACTCAATTCCAGCTTTCCCTTTGTGATATGGAACCTTGAAGTACAATTTCAGAAAGATCCATACACTTACACACAAGTTATTGTCATGAAACTAGAAAAATGCTTGTTTTTTGCCCCTTTTTTGGCCCCTAATTCCTAAAATTTTGAGGCAATTACCCCCAAAATCAATCCCAGCATTCCTTTTGTGATATGGATCCTTGTGGTACAATGTCAGAGAGATCCATACACTAACACACAAGTTATGTCTGGAAGTTACAAAAATGCTTATTTTTGGCCCCTTTTTGGCCCCTTATTCCTTTACTGTTGGTACCATAACCCCCAAAATCAATCCCAACCTTTCTTTTGTGGTATTGAACCTTGTGGTAAAATTTCATAGAGATCCAGTCACTTAAACTAAAGTTAGAGTGCGAAAACCAATGTGTCTTCGGACGATGCCGACAACGACGACGACGACGACGCCAACGTCATACCAATATACGACCACAAAAATTTTTTTGCGGTCGTATAAAAACGTCACTCAAGGATGAACTGAAAGTCATTGTGACTAATGTGATAGACTGTGTAAGATGATTGTGAATTCTATCTTTCTTTTTCTTTTTCCTTACAATAACATTAGTTTATACCTGCTGCCCCTCTATCCTCATTTTCCACTAACCTGGTAAATCAATTTTGAGGTGTGGAAATAATCAAAAAATCATGCTTATATAAATATAAGTGTGATAAAATTGTGATAATTGATATTCAACAAAAATTATTTGTTAGAATACTTGTGGCCATGATTAGTTGCTTTAAAGATAATGGTAGGGATTTTTAATCATCTTAATCTTATTAGTCATTAATGAAATGTAATAGTTTTTGGCTAAAATAGCAAAGAGGGAGAGGGAGGAGATTAATACTTTATCCCTAATCAAAACGATAGATTCCTAAAAATTCCGAAAACATGACAGTGAGAGAAAGTTATTGAAATACTTTCCAACTTATCACTGAAATCAAAGGTATTCTAAGATTACTAAAATTTGTGTGTTCCATGCATTCTAGGAATATTTTCATGTGGATAACTATAAACATACTTGTTCATCATAATCATTTTTCGTGAACTTTGTGAATGCATGCATTATTTAAACATGTCAGAAAACCATCAAACTGTGATAAGTATTAAATCTATATATTTTATATCATAACTGTCAATCTATCTTATATATAAAACATACATTGAAAATGAAGGTCGATAAATGATTTTTATCTGCAATTTGTACATTTTCCTTTTGATCTTACTGCCTTATATTTTTAAGATCATGAACAGGACTTGATACTCGAAAATATTAGGCAGTGATGTCATGTATTAGTGCAGCAATGTCACATGCTCAAGTCCATCCGCATCAATTTATTAATGAAATGCACGAAATTTCATTCATACAACCGAACAACTATCCGAACGTTTTATAAGCGTAAAAGTAGTTTTACTAACTATTTCACTTTACATTAATATATTCTTAACAAAAAAAACCTACAATTAAAACAAATTGCAGATAAAAAGAAAAATGGCATTTCATTTTTTGATACTGACTTCATTAGCTCAAATATCAGCTCGCCCTAGCAGGCACGCTTGATATTCTTGCTGATAAAGTTTGTATTAAAAACAAAAATGTGATTATTCTATATATAATTTTCAAAATGAAATAATTTGAAATTTACATTTTCAAGAAAATTGACCAATATACAGATTGAAATGTTGAAACATATATGATGAAAATATACCTTGACAATGAAGAGTATTGCACATCCTCCATTCTTGAGTATTTCCCTCACATGGTCTTCCCTTTGGGGATGGCGGTGGTTGACTACACCGACGTATCCGTGTTTGTATTCCACCATTACAATCAGCGGTACAGTCACCCCATGGTGACCAAACTGTCCATTTACCATCGACAGGTGGTTCTAAAAAAACAACACTGGACAGTGAATTTTTTATGAATATCATAGGGTTATTGCATACATATTGTAGAATATTGTCCAGAGTAGATTTTTATATTGCAAGAGCTTGCAAGTGCAATATATATTCTAAGAGTCATAATATTCACCAATATGCATGCAATGACCTTTTTATTGTATAGTAAAGCTTGAATAAAAGAAGAATGTGCCTGAGGACAGGAATGCCCACTCTCAAGCTTCAAACAAACCAAAATGGGACGGACAGTGGTGGCGGCCGGGGCTTAAAAAAATGTTTTAGACATATTTTTTTTCATTGATGATGTTGATAACTTGAAACTTTATTTGCACTAGTGGAATATGATATAATAATGTAGTATGATTTTTTATTACATTCTGTGGGAATCATATCCTGCTATACAATAGGCTATGATATTAAACTCAATGCCAAGTTTTTCAACAGCCAACCCAGTTAATATTTTCTTTTTTTTTTACCAAAATAGCCCAAGAAGAAGCATATTCAATCTACAACTTAACTTGTTGATGTATACTTTAATGCACTATGAGAAAATTCAAAAGTGAAATATATCATAACTGTAGATACTCACAGTACACTTTCCTCACACTTGTCTTTAAAAACAATGTTTCATAGCATTAACAAGGGGGTGAAAAACTAAAGTTCCTTTAGATTTGCCTTATACAAACAGCTGACAGTGACCTATAGTTGTTGGCTTCTGCATCATTTGGTCTCTAGTGGAGAGTTGTCTTATTGGCAATCATACCACATCTTTTTATTTTCATAAGATACTCTTACCTGAATATGAAGGGTTACTAGGACAACAACTGTAATAACTTACACAATATCTGCCCTATTTCAATACAACAGAGGATCTTACCTGGACAGCTAGGGTTACCTGGACAATAACCCTCATCTCTGTCAGACCCTATACAATCTCTGCCCATATATCTTGGTGGAGGATTACTACAGTAACGGTTTCGAGATCTTGTTCCATTGTGCCCACAGGTTATAGAACACTTAGACCAAGCAGTCCAAGCTGTCCACTGGCCATGTGCTATAAAGGAGAGGATAAAACATAAGAAAACTGGTTTATCAGTGCTGTCACTAACCTTTAAAGGATGATATTACCCCCCATTCTCACAAAATATATTGACTGAAAGTTTGTATGTAATCTTTTCAAATTTAAATATCCTGTGTTTTAACTATTAAGTCAAGTATAATGTGGTCTTGGAGAAGTATAATTATTTAGCTTAATTTGTTTCTTTTCTATTTTTCTATTGAAATTTTTAAACTACAAAGTCTCTTCAGATTTCCCAGGAATGATGACTGTTGATAACATTTTTCATCTTTTTATTTTTTTGTGTGAAAGTATATTGTTTTAAGATGGATGTCTGTCCAATTTTGTACACTCTTATAAACATATAATCTTAAGCTTGCTTTGTGAAACTTCATTGTAGGGAATTTTTAGTAAACTTAAATCATCTACTGCTTGTTTGTTCTTTGAAGCAAGTAGAATTATTTTAATATAGATAACAATTCAAAGAATATTATCTATTTATCCATTTTGTACTTTAAATCTTCAAATGAATTATTATTTCTCAGAAATATTCATGTAAATTTACAGCAATGCTCATCTATATTACCAAATTATATTTATAAATATATCAAGATGTTACATTGTAAACTGCTTTACAGCATATTCTTCAAACTGGTCAAAACCTAATAGTTTCTTTCTCATATTCATAAATCACAGTGTTTTCTCATGTGATGTTTACCTGTACAATTGGTGACCTCAACAACTGATCCTGCACAGGACTTTCCACCAAAAGCAGGTTTAGGATTGTCACATGATCTTGTTCTACAAAGGCAATCCCCTGCTGAAGGATCTGGAACTGTCTGCTGGCAGGTTTCCCATTCTGACCATTCTGACCACATCCCATCAATAGGATGTTCCACTATTGGACAGGATATGATGTCTTGCATCCAGTAGTGTATGGAGGGATCATTATCTGGAGCAGTTGTACATTTACTGGAAGCCTTGTTCCAACCACAGTATGGATCCATGGAATTTTTACACAGACTGGAATGCATAGAAATTTTATTATAAAGATGCTTGCTAACATTTTTATTCTGTAGCTTAAGACTTTTCATTTTATGTTACTTATATGAAGAATATTAACATTATGTAGAATGACTTAAGACACTTATGCCGTGAATACATATATTCCAAACATTATTGACCAAAATAAATGATGTGAGGTATATGTCAGCATGACAGCAACCTAAATACAAAAATAATACAACAGAAAAGACATCTAGAAGTCAACATTTTGTTAAGAGGCAATTGTTAAGCTATAAATATTCCCAAGTCTTGTTGTAAATAAAATAAACAGAGACTATTAAAGATATGCACGCAACACCATTTCATAGTAATGACAAATCTTTGCTTCTCACATCAAAGTAAGCTTATTCTAAGATATGAAAGTGCAGTTAAAATTATCCTAAATAATAATTTAACTTTCATTTCTACTAGACACAATATTTACTGTTGATTCAGACAGTAGGTTAATTTCTAACAAATAATGACTATAGCTTAACTACTTAATGAATAAGTCAAACATATTTCATAGTAAAAATTTTCTTGACTATTATTAAAAGCAAGGAAAAACCATGAACATTGCAATACCATCCCCTAAAAAAAGACAAAAAGTAGGTGCACAAAATCAAAAATATTTCAAAGTTTAAGAACTTACTCTTGATCAGTAAATCTGTCACACCTTTGTACTGGTATCTTTATGATTTTCCCTGTCACTGTTACATACACTGCACCCTGTATAATAATAAAAAGAAATCAATTGTTAATTCCAACTATCAATACATTTGGATATAATCCCTATTCCAATCAGACCTGGGGTAATTAAAACTGTAATCGTAATTGCATGTAATTAACAAATTTGAAAGGAATTTGTAATTGAGCATATTTTCAACTACATGTAATTGAAAGTAATGAATTACATTGCCTTTTTGCAATGTAATCATGACCTACTTTTCAATTACATTGGAGTATTTGCTTGGATGTTAAAACATTTCTTGCTTCTCTAATGGACTCAAACTTGTGACCTTTATTTTCAAAAAATCCAATTAAAAGTGCCCATCTACATCAAGTTATGAATATTCTGCCAATTAACTGAAATCAATGCACTGGTACTGGAGGTGTTGCTAATGGGTGGTGCTAATTGTTCAACAAAGGAACAACATAAAACTGGTGCTTTAGTATTGTGCCCTACCTTATCTTCTGATATCCTCAGATTTTTGACAGGTTTATAATCTCCATTCGGTACAATCTTATGTTCTTCTATGAGACAGGATGAGTTAAGCTGAGGTAAGTATGCCATTTTCCTTATATAACCATCAACAGTAGCCAAGAAGATCACATGATATTGTTGACCCTTGCCCTTTACACTGTCAACCACTATATGTGTCCACCTACAAGATATAACAAGGTCTTGTTGATAAATAAATTGGAATTTTCTGATTTCAAATTAAGAAAGAATTAACATATAATATAGTTTATGAAAGCAATAGACATTCATCAGACTCAAGACTTTTTTAAACTGAGTTTTACTGTGCATATTGCTGTGTGTTTGTTTTTTCTTCATTGGCTAGAGGTATAGGGGGATGGTTGAGATCTCACAAAACGTGTTTAACGTGCCACATTTTTGCGCCTGTCCTATGGCAGGAACCTCTAGCCTTTGTTAGTCTTGTATGTTTTTTTAATTTTGGTTCATTTATATATTTTGGAGTTTATTATGACGTCTATTTTCCCTCAACTAGTAAACATTTTTGTTCAGGGGTCAGCTGAAGCTGGCCTCCGGGTGCTTGATTTTTTCGCTGTGTTGAAGACCCATTGTTGGCCTTGGGTTGTTTTCTGACCTTTGGTCGGGTTGTTGCCATTCTCAGTTTCATTCACAAAATATTTATAAAAAAATGTTATTTACCTGTGTAAGTATAACCTTAAATAAGCAATTTGTACATTTTCTTTTGTTTTCTTAGTCAATATAGCACAGCACTTAAGTAAAATATTATCTGCTGTTAGAATCTCATAGCTGTAAGTGTAAGACTGTCCCCTATTATTTGACTCTGATGAATGGAGACATCAAGCAAATATATATTTCAATCAATCTTTTACTGTAAATTCAGAAATTCTTGAGTGCATTTATCATTGCGATTGTTTAAAAATGGACAAAGATGCGAAATAAATACTTGCGAATTAAGAAAAGGCTCCATACACATATAACACTGTCAAAATTTAAAATGAGAATTTTTATTTTTGCGAAACATATCCTTTCACATTTTTCACAATCATAAAAACAATTAAAAGTATCAGTGACACAACTGCAATCAGCAGACACAAAAAAACAATTGGGTTCCGTTTTTGTATTCAATCAATGCAATCGGCAGACACACAAAAAAAATTGTGTTCCTTTTTCATAATTCAATTAATGGAATGATGTGTTTTACAGAACTAGGTTCCTAATCATTCATTTAGAATTCTCCCTTATGTTAGTAATTTTACCTATAATATGGACTCCTGTTAAAAATGTAAATCTTACCTTTCATTTTGACCATATACAAGTGGATCCAGTGTGTGAGGTTGTATTGCATCATCCATCAATTGGTATTTCTGTGCTTGCATTATCTGCAGTGAAGACTTCCGTAAAACACCATCATCAGATGATCTTTTATCAGTTCCACTATCATCTGGACACTACAATTCACAAATATATCCTCATTATTTATGTCATGTTTCGGCTCAAGCAGAAAAAAAAACATTGCTCTTATGATTCTTCTATTTTATATTATGTTCACAATGATTATTTCGGTTTCGCATGGCAAAACAATTTTGACTTTACCAATACCATCTATCTGTTCATACTATGAAGTATTTCAATGCTTACTCAGTGGGAAATCTAGTGAACGAAAACAAAAGAAAATTGACTCTTCTTATGATAGAGTCGAGAAAGTCAATAATAAAACAATGGCAGTGACGATATTGATCAAAAGTTATTTCTAAATAATAATTGTAAATTTAAAAAAAATTATTTGTTAAACTGTGTTATTAGAAATATACATGCAAATACACGATGTTTTATGTTAAGTATTTATCAAGATAATTGCATTAGAAGCTTGTGAACCTGAAATTTAAAAAATGCCAATCTTTGCTGCATATTGATAAAAAAAATTGGAAAAAATCATGTACATATGAAATCTAAAGATCTTTCGGGTCACTAATTTTCAGAATGTTCCACAAAGTCCTTAGCATGTTACAATTTCCCAAAGTATACTTATTTTTTCACACCTAAGTTATCGACCACACCGGTCTGCTATTTTCACATGTACATTCAATAGAGAACTATTGTCTTTTCGTGAATATAAAAATTTAAAAGTCTGTCTGTGCATGTTAAGAAATTAAAGATAACTATTCTTATAAAGTAGGTATCTTTCTACTATTTTTTATACAATTTTAAGAAAAGGTCGTCTAGATTTTTGTACATGTATTTGCAGTCTTCTAGATCTATTCATATTCAAAATGTTTACATTGAGATAAGGTCCATTTGAATTTGCTTAGTAATTTAATTTCAAAAGTACCAATCTTTGCTGCATATTAAGGCGAAGTGTACGTAATTAACTACTCCACAGAATTTTTTAAAATTTTACATGTGGATTCTGCTTGTAAAAATACACCAGACAATAAAATAAAAAAAAGGGGTAACCGTTTTCGTTTTTCAAATACAAGCTGTTGAAATTAACAGCATGATACGCCAAAAATACAAAGGATATATAGGGAAAATCATAAAAATCGGCAGATATTTTTACTTTATTAAGATTTTCTAATTCGTTGGTCCACAGAATTTTTTTAAAAATCGATATGCGATTCAAAGATGAACGACGAACCCATTGGTGCAAAGAAAGTCCTTAGCAACCGTGCTAGTTTTCAAGCTATATCCTGTTAAAGTTTGATTTTTAGCGGAAAGAATAAAAACATTCGGCGACGTTATTGATGTCTACTGTAACGTCATCACAATTTCTACTCTATAACGCTATTATACCGTACAGTGTTGTAACAAAATCGTGAGTGTGTATAACCCATTTTCCTAATTATTGCAAATGCTCAAGCGTAATCAATTGATAAGGAAATAAACTAACTGTTTTTAAGGATAATTCTGCTGCCAAAAAAAAAAAACAAATTGGCAAATAAATATACTGCAAGTGAAAGAAAGTTACTGTATAGACTTTAACTCCATCTTTTTTTAATTAGACAGGGTTCCACATCTTTTTTGAAATGCATGTATTTATAGCTGACTATGGGCGTTGATCATTGTTGAAGGCCGTACGGTTACCTATAGTTGTTAATTTCTGTGTCATTTGGACTCTTGTGGAGAGTTGTCTCATTAGCAATCATACCACATCTTCTTTTTTTTTATAGTGTATTGTTTTAATAATTATGAATCAAATATCAAGTTTGAAATTGTCCCAGTTAACACAGCGTTGACAGAATGATTCTATACGTATTTAAATAATCGGTTATAATATTGGGATCGCGTATACACGTCTTTTTTTAAATCTTATTTCTGCATGTTTGTATTTTTAAAAAGTGAATATAATTTGCTGCATCTTTTCATCCTCACCATTTCCGGCGCTATTCGAGGTATTGCGCACAAAGCCCATTTTATTTGTCAGGTTCACACGCGTGCACGTGACACAACTCTGCAATTTTATTTAAAAAATTTCCTGTCTCGATCGCTTTCCCTTTTCTTTAACTACACGACAAAGCATGATATAATGTTTGCTGGAGATTTTAAGTAAAAAAAGGAAATAATTTTTTGTACCATTATTTGTTAAATATCCACATGCAAGACTCCAAAAAATAAGAAAACTGCATCTGCATATTATCTTGAGAATTTTTATGGCTGTAATAAGGTCAAAAGAAGAACCCGCATATGAATTTTAGCAAGGTAAAACAGATTGGAGTTTTAACTTCACGTAGCACAGATCATTCCCAGTGTTAGCCTTAGCATTGTGTATATCGTGTTTAATGCTATAGCATTGTGTATAGTGTAATGCTAAAGCTTTGTGCATAGTGATATGCTATAAATGTACTGGTGTAATGCTATAAGAATGTACCAAGAGCGATGCTATACGAGTTTACCTAGTATAGTGCCATACAAATTGTTCCTGTATATAGTGCAAATTTGAATTGCAGTTTTGTTAATATAATATGAACATAAGGAGATGTGGTATGATTGCAAATGAGACAACTATCTGCCACGTTTAAGGTAGATCGGGTTCCTTTTTCTGAGCGTCCGTTCTGATCATGTTGCAAAAACTTTTTTGTTTTAAAAATATTTTACCAAGTATCATTCAATATACAACAAAATACCTAAAACTTGAAATTTAAAGATTGAACTATCAAGAAATTAAGTGTCGTAAAGTATATTTAAAATATTTGGGGATTTTTTTCAAGAAAATAAGGCATGTGACACCCTATTTTTATTTGATATTTCGGAGTTATTAATGAAAAGCAATTCTCTCATCGACTTTTAGCCAATTCCATCGTTTAATGTTTCTGCAATAAGGAAAACTTAAGTTTCCCCTATATTAACAATATAAAATAACCCAAATTTCGTTAATTTCAATGTGTTATTACGAAAAAACAAGGTCCGTGATCCCCAGTTTTTATATTGAAATTTATATAACATTGACACAGAAGTCTTACAGAAGTTTAAGAAAAATCTATCGTCCAACATTTAGACACCCCAGCTACCTTAAAGGATGTGGATGTAAGCAATTGTTAAAGGCAATCATATATACGGCCTTCAACAATGAGAAAATCCATACCGTATAGTCGGTTATAAAAAGCCCCGACATTGTAGAACTAATTTTCTTCACCCCCTCCCCATTCTTCCCCTACCTCATACTACTGCTGAATGATACACAAAAGCACAACAAAAAAGAAAACAAGTTTCGCTATCCCTTTGAAATCTGAATTTGATAAAGAAAAAAATAACACGTTCTATTTTTATCATACATGTGTAGTTTCAGTTTCAACCATGGTTCTAAATTTAGATTTTACTTTCCCCAAAAATTGCGGACGGAAGAGAAGACACCTGTTTATTTTTTGCACCTTGAAAACTGAGATTTGGATGACATAGATTTTACTTATTCTGAGATAAATGTAATAGTGCTCAATTCTTAGTTTCTGAGAGTGTAATGTTTTGTGGACGGAATCTGATGGGTTTTTTTTTTTGCTGTTGGCTTTTTCTTCGGCTTATAAATGTTGTACTAGTGGTCGATTACCCCCGTATCTTTTATACTTTTACCTAAATAATAAAATATAAAACATCATAAAAATTTTCAATTGCATAAAAACGGACATGCCAACGTCTTTCTTGTTCAAAACACAAATTCACATGCAATATAATTATTTGTTACCTACAATTTTACGCTACAGTACACTGTGAAATTCAATAAAAACTATGGTTTTTCAAAAAAATATTGTGGGGGTCAATTCAGGTTTGATTTTAATGAATTTGAAACGAATAGAAGCAGAATTGTCACTGGTTTATTTTTTATTTGGTTATAATTTTGTTGTTTAGGCGTTTTTACCTTCTGTTGAAATAAACACGAGTCGTTTTGTGTACCTGCTCCTGCGTGTTTAACTAAAACAAAAACAGTGGTAATATAGTCATACTAACTCACAATAAGATACTCAGATTTCTGATTAGAGTCATTCTAATAATTTCTTTGAAATTTTGAGATAGCACATGAATACTTGTTTGAATTCATGATAGACCGCACCAAGTTATTTCTCTTTCATGTGCCCATTTTTCCTTTCTTGGAGTAGGGGAGATAACCCGCGTAACTAACGACGCACGTTTTTTATCCTAAATTCCGCTAGAGGCGTGCAATTACGTACACTTCGCCTTAATCGATTCCTTTGGAATTTTTTCGCTGACTTTCTCTGATCTAGATGTTTATATATATGGATAATAAGCATGTTCCAGAGAGTTAAAAAGCCAGTAGAAAAAATAAATTGAAGTTGGTACTCCAGGAATTTATTCGCATAGCAACATTCTAAACCAATTTTACATCAAACTTCTATAGCCTGCTGTACTCGTCATTTGCTACTTAAGAAGGGAAATGATAACATTAAAGGGAAGTTGTGTTTTTTATTTCAACTTATTTCTATTTTTACTATTTACTCGAACGTTTTCCCGTGAATCCATAATTGATAGCATCCTTGCTAAAATGGGACAAACATTGAGAAGATATAGTTTTCTGTGTTAAAAGGGGAGGTTATATTTTGTCACTAGATTTCCCACTGAACTCTAAATGAAGTGGAACAAAGCTTGACAGAAATACTTTATTTCACGTTTAGTTGCAATTTTTTATTATCAGAATGATGTTTAGGAGTTCCCATTGCAAAACATAGACTTAAATTTGCCTTTCTACATATGGGGAGCTAGCAGTAAGAAAATCTTTCAAACTTTTGATTTATTATTGATTGTAACTCAACAAAACTGATTCATAATATATAATATATGCAGTTGCATTTCTGTTTAAGTTCTGCATGTAAGAAAAAGTTTGAATTAGTTTGTAGGGGGGCCTTGTTCTTTCTCTCCTGTTACCCACCTGTAAAGGTTTTTCACTAGTGTCTCTCATCCAGGCAGATCTAACATTCTCCTGGTATTTGTAAGCTCCATTAAATACAGATGAGAATGCTGTCATGTTGTAAATACACACTGCTGATCCTGATATACTGTTTCTGGAAAAAATATATCAATGTTCTTATTATAACTGTGTGTGCATTTACAAAGCTAACAAGTTTAGGAATTATTCTTCAATTTTTTTATTTTTCTCTTTATAGAACTATTGATGAAAGTTAGAATTATACTGTTGTTGTCCCATCATTGAGTCTTGTATTTTTGGGATTGAAGTCTTATAGTTTGAAACATGACTAAAATATTTCTGTTATTTTTCTGCATTGAAATTCTGTACTGTTTACACAAAATTGTATCTTCCTGAACTGCTTATGACATTGCTGTCTGAAATCTTATATGAATGGAATGAACTCATGTCAGCAGGTTATTTTGACCTTCAGCTTTCATCAAGAGTAAGAATTCTTAAAATATTGTCTATTTTTTAGTTTGTATTGGATATTTCATCTTTAATACCTTTATTTTTAGAGTTGAGAGCTTTTCCTGTAATAGATTAAAAGGGGGAGGGTTGAGATCTTAAACTAGACAAAGTGATGCCCCTCACACTCCACTCTGAATTATCTGTATTATAACAAAGTCAATGTAGGACTTTCTTTGAGGTGTAATACCACCAAATCATAGTACGTCACATCAGGTTGCATACGAAAATAGGTTGAAAAAAAATATTCCCATGAATTTGACAGTTGTAGGTAATTGATCCTACATTTCATTGCAGTAAAACATTTCTGGGTCATAAACATATATCTTGGGTATTTCAAAGCACCATTATTTTTTTATTTGGGGTTTCTATAGAATATTTTGGAAACTTGAGGTTACATGGTTACTAAAGCTTGTACACAGGTTAAAAAAGGGGGAAAATTTGATTGGTTAACTTCCAGTGATGGTTATTTTCTTATATGCAATGAAATGTTATGTGAAATTTTTTTCTATAGTACTGGACAGGATAAAACTTTACTCATGCCAAGTATTTCTTTATTTAAAACAAAGATAAATTCTGCAAAATTTTTTGAAAAGTGCAAATTTAACAAAGACAAATAGGGGAAAATCAATGGTGGTATTACACCTTGAGATATTATTGTGTCTGGGAGACACAAATGATGCCCCTGCAGATGCAAAGTGTTATTTTGACATACACAAATTTGAGCATGGGAGCACATAGGTCTATGGTTCACTATAGGAGGAGTTATCCGGAAACTCTATGCACCTCTTATGCAAGTATATACTCCAAAATGACAAAGTTCAACTATCTCCCAAAAGAGCAAATATTAACAAGAGTGCACATGCTGAAATGTCTCGCCTACTATACTGACCATTGATTTTATGTTGATAGTCCTGCATATAAAGTTTTACTACAAGTATCACATTAACATTTATGATCCAAGAAAATGAGGTCAAGGTCAGATAAACCAAGCCGGAAATACATGTACACCTTTAATACAATCATTCCATACACAGAATATAGATGACCTATTGCTAATAGTATAAAAGAAACAGACCAAACCATGGAAATTCTACATTAACCAATGAACCATGAAAATAAAGTCAAGGTCAGTTCAACCCTGCCAGACAGACATGAACACCTTAAAATCATTCCATGCATCAAATATAGTTGACCTATTGCTTAAAGTATCTAAGAAACAAAGTTAACCAGGGAAACTGAACATTGACCAATCAACCATGAAAATGAGGTGAAGGTCAGATGATACCTGCCAGACAGACATATACACCTTACAATCATTCCATACACCAAATATAATTGAAATATTGCTTAAAGTTTAAGAAAAACAGACCAAAACACAAAAACTTAACATAAACAATGAACCATGAAAATGAGGTCAAGGTCAAATAAAACCTGACAGACTGACATGTACATAGTAAAATATTTCCATACACCAAATGTAGTTGACCTTTTGCATACAGTATCAAGAAAACAGACCAAAACACAAAAACTCAACATTGAGCAATGAACCGTGAAATTGGGATCAAGTTCAAATAAAACCTGCCAGACTGACATGTACATCGTAAAATATTTCCATACACCAAATATAGTTGACCTATTGCATACAGTATTAGAAAAACAGACCAAAACACAAAAACTAAACTATGACCACTGAACCATGAAAATGAAAATGAGGTCAAGGTCAAATAAAACCTGCCAGACTGACATGTACATCGTAAAATATTTCCATACACCAAATATAGTTGACCTATGGCATACAGTATTATAAAAACTGACCTAAACACAAAAAATAAACTATGACCACTGAACCATGAAAATGAGGTCAAGGTCAGATGACACTTGCCAGTTGGACATGTACACCTTACTATCATTACATACAACAAATATAGTAGACCTATTGCTTATAGTATCTGAGATATGGACTTGACCACGAAAACTTAACCTTGTTCACTGATCCATGAAATGAGGTTGAGGTCAAGTGAAAACTGTCTGACAGGTATGAGGACCTTGCAAGGTACGCACATACCAAATATAGTTATCCTATTACTCATACTAAGAGAGAAATTAACATTACAAAAAATCTTATCTTTTTTTCAAGTAGTCACTGAACCATGAAAATGAGGTCAAGGACAACGGATATATGACAGATGGAAATTTCATATCATAAGGCATCTATATACAAAGTATGAAGCATCCAGGTCTTCTTCCTTCTGAAATATCAAGCTTTTAAAAAAGTAAGTTAACGCCGCCGTCGCCGGATCACTATCCCTATGTCGAACTTTCTGGACAATAAAAATCAAAACCCTGACCACATGCACACCTTCAATATATGTACAAACAGCCAGCAAAGTGAAAACTTCCTAGCATTCAAATTGTAGGAGGGGTTATGTGGAATAACTATATACCCATAATGGGACAGACGGACGGACGGACAGGGGTAAAACAATATGCCTCCCATCTTTTAGTTGCGGGGGCATACAAACTAGTTTGATCCTACCACGTGTCTATGTACCTGTTCCAAGTCAATACTATGTTTTCCCAGGGAAGACACATTTGTTTTAAAACAGACCGACCATAGAAATTTATTATGCCTGAAAGGGAGTATAAATGGTAGACGAGTTGATTTTGGTCTATAAACTATGGCCCTGAAAAACCTTCAACAAAATAAAGGCAAACAGCTTTTTCAGGTTTTTATTCTTTTCAGGATTTTTCTTTAAACATGACAGTGATCATAAAGGAGCATATGATATCCTTCACATTTGTATGTGAGAAACCTATTACGTCTCACAATTTGTATATTTGATAACTGAGAGTATGATGATAAATAAAACAAACATGAAAACTTACTCTGATGTAGTGAAAATTGCAAAGAAAAATTTTTCAGTTCCTGAGTCTAGAAAATATGTACTCTGTATTTGGTCAAAATAAAATGGATATTTTCCTGGTATCGAGCAATTCATCCTGGCCTTAACAAATGTGGTCCAATTATCTTCAAATAATAAATCTCCTCCTGCATCACTCTGAAAAATTATTTTTGAGATGTTCGGTAAAAATACAAGAGTGAATTATCTATTATACAAATATCTCTTCAACATGTAAAAATGGATGTAACTCAATAATAATAATTAGCCTATGATGTCAAGGTTAAACTGACAAATTGTCCTTGCAATTATGTAACAAGCTAACAATTATAGGCTTTAAGATAAAAACAGTTAGAATATAAAGAACTGATCTAACCACCGAAGTTATTGAAGCAGGAAAAATCATATCAAGGTCCGATGAACAAGAACGCCTCACAATTATTCTAAAGACGTGTATGACTGAGATTAACGTCCATTTCTCCTAAATCCCTGTGCCTCAAATATAGCACAGGGATTTAGGAGAAATGCATGTTAATCTCAGTCATGCATATCCAAATAAAATGCTTCGCTGGGCGCAGCTTGATACGACCGCAGAGGTCGAACCCTGAACAGTTGGGGCAAGTATGGACACAACATTTAAGCTTGATACAGCTCTGAATTTGGATTGTGATTAAATATTTGACACAGCATAGGTTTCTGACACAGAAAGAATGTGGTCTAAGAACTTCAATTTTTTTAATTTACCTATTATGGTCCAATGTCCAAAATCAAAATACATGGCTAGATTCAGCATATCAAAGAACCCCATATATTCAATTTTTGTTGAAATCAAACAAAGTTTAATTTTGGACCCCAACTTGGACAAACTTGAAAACTGGTCCCATAATCAAAAATCTAAACACATGTTTAGATTCAGCATATCAAAGTACCCCCTTTTGACCTCAATATGAACCAATTTGATAGCGGGCCCACAAAATAAAAAATCTAAATACATGGTAAGATTCAGCATATCAAAGAACCCCATATATTCAATTTTTGTTGAAATCAAACAAAGTTTAATTTTGGACCCCAATTTGGACCAACTTGAAAACTGGGCCAAAAATCTAAAATCTAAAAACATGTTTAGATTCAGCATATCAAAGAACCCCAAAAATTCAATTTTTGTTAAAATCAAACTAAGTTTAATTTTGGACCCTTTGGACCTTAATGTAGACCAATTTAAAAAACGGGACCCAAAATTAAAAATCTAAATACACGGTTAGATTTGGCATATCAAAGAACCCCAATAATTCAATTTTTGATGAAATCAAACAAAGTTTAATTTTGGACCCTTTTGACCTCAATATGAACCAATTTGATAGCGGGCCCACAAATAAAAAATCTAAATACATGGTAAGATTCAGCATATCAAAGAACCCCATATATTCAATTTTTGTTGAAATCAAACAAAGTTTAATTTTGGACCCCAATTTGGACCAACTTGAAAACTGGGCCAAAAATCTAAAATCTAAATACATGTTTAGATTCAGCATATCAAAGAACCCCATATATTCAATTTTTGTTGAAATCAAACAAAGTTTAATTTTGGACCCCAACTTGGACCAACTTGAAAACTGGGCCCATAATCAAAAATCTAAACACATGTTTAGATTCAGCATATCAAAGAACCCCAAGAATTCAATTTTTGATGAAATCAAACTAAGTTTAATTTTGGACCCTTTGGACCTTAATGAGACCAATTTAAAAATGGGGCCCAAAATCCAAAATCTAATTACACGGTTAGATTTGGCATATCAAAGAACCCCAATAATTCAATTTTTGATGAAATCAAACAAAGTTTAATTTTGGACCCTTTTGACCTCAATATGAACCAATTTGATAGCGGGTCCACAAATAAAAAATCTAAATACATGGTTAGAATCAGCATATCAAAGAACCCCAAGAATTCAATTTTTGATGAAATCAAACAAAGTTTAATTTTGGACCCTTTTGACCTCAATGTGGACAAAGTTGATAACGGGGCCCAAAAATCAAAAATCTAAATACATGGTTAGATTCAGCATATCAAAGAACCCCATATATTCAATTTTTGTTGAAATCAAACAAAGTTTAATTTTGGACCCTGATTTGGACCAACTTGAAAACTGGGCCCATAATCAAAAATCTAAATACATGTTTAGATTCAGCATATCAAAGAACCCTAAAAATTCAATTTTTGTTAAGATCAAACTAAGTTTAATTTTGGACCCTTTGGACCTTAATGTAGACCAATTTGAAAACGGAACCAAAAATTAAGAATCTAAATACACGGTTAGATTCGGTATATCAAAGAACCCCAATAATTCAATTTTTGATGAAATCAAACAAAGTTAAATTTTGGACCCTTTGGACCTCAATGGGGACCAATTTAAAAACGGGGCCCAAAATCCAAAAACTTAATACACGGTTAGATTCAGCATATTAAAGAACCCCAAGAATTCAAGAATAAAACCCCATTGAAATTGATCAAGAAATAAGCAATTTATACGAAGTATCTTCTTTTGCACAATACTGTGCAATTGAATATTTCTTGCTATTGTGCAATACTGTAAAATTGACAATTTCTTGCTATTGCGCAATATTGTGCTATTGGATATTTCTTGCTATTGCGCAATACTGTGCAATTGAAGATTTCTTGCTATTGCGCAATACTGTGCAATTGAAGATTTCTTGCAATTGTGCAATACTGTGCAATTGAAAATTTCTTGCTATTGCACAATACTTATTATATAATAATTTACACATCCTGTTTGGTGTTTATCTCCTACCATATCATTATTATTTGCTTTTAAATATTAATCAGAAATAACCAACTTAAAATGGAAAATTTTAAAAGAAAAAAAAAAGGGAAAAAAAGAAAAAAAAAGAAAAAAAAAAATCCCCCCCCCCCAAATTTTTTGAACCCCCTTATGATTCATCACCCCCAAACTCAATCCCAGCCTTCCCTTTGTGGTATGGTACCTTGCAGTACAATTTCAGAGAGATCCATACACTTGAACACAAGTTATTGTCTGGAAACTAGAAAAATGCTGATTTTTGGCCCCTTTTTGGCCCCCAATTCCTAAACGTTTTGGGCAATTACCCCCAAACTCAATTCCAGCTTTCCCTTTGTGATATGGAACCTTGTAGTACAATTTCAGAAACATCCAAACACTTACACACAAGTTATTGTCATGAAACTAGAAAAATGCTTGTTTTTTGCCCCTTTTTTGGCCCCTAATTCCTAAAATTTTGAGGCAATTACCCCCAAAATCAATTACAGCCTTCCCTTTGTGATATGGAACCTTGTGGTACAATGTCAGAGAGATCCATACACTTACACACAAGTTATTGTCTGGAAGTTACAAAAATGCTTATTTTTGGCCCCTAATTCCTTAACTGTTGGTACCATAACCCCCAAAATCAATCCCAACCTTCCTTTCGTGGTATTGAACCTTATGGTAAAATTTCATGGAGATCCATTCACTTAAACTAAAGTTAGAGTGCGAAAACCAATGTGTCTTCGGACGACGCCGGACGACGCCAGACGACGACGACGACAACGACGACGACAACGCCAACGTCATACCAATATACGACCAAAAAATTTTCAATTTTTGCGGTCGTATAAAAATGACTAGAAAAGTTGACCATTTCCAGACCCTATTAATTATAGTTACTGAGAAACTAAACTGATAGCAAAAACTTAACATTGACGTAAGTAAGTCACTGAAGCACGAAAACGAGGTCAAGGACAGTTGACATATGCTAGATAAACAGAGACTTTGAGACCAAAAGCCATCTACATACCAATTATGATTTGTCTTGCTCTTCAAATTTCTAAAGCATTGAGCTTTATATCATTAGTTAAACACTGTCGTTGTTGCTGTGACTGGATAAGCATACCTTTGAAACATTTATAGCAGATCAAATGAATACTAATGTTCATGAAATGATTAAGTTTTTGCATTTGAGATATGCTATAGATTAATCATTATATCATGATATGGTGAAGTAAAGTTTTTGGCAACTTTTTGCTATCATAAATCTACAATATTATAAAACTGATATACCACAGCATAATACCATTTGGTGCGGTAAAACTCTCAAATTTCTGTTAAAACTTATTATATCATTTACCTGGTAACCTTGGATTTGTATCAAAAAGATTCTGTTAAAATTGAAATTGGATTAATTGTTCAACAAAAGGATAAAGATAACAGTGACAAAAAAAGTTCATACCTTACAAACTCTTGCCACACGTGAATAGATTCTCTGAAATAGAAAAACTAAATTGACATTTATGATCATTGTAAACAGCTAAATTTCCCTTGTTAAATCACATACAGCACAGCTTAATTTTTTTTTTTAAAATAAGGATGTTGAAGCAAGGGATCTCCTTCTTGTACAGTGATTTTTTTTACACCTTTCTTCTTGAATTCCTTTCAACAAATATATAGATCAAGAACAGCATGTATATACATCTTTGTCTTTTGGTTATTTGTGTGTTGGGTTGTGGTCACATTGACATTTTCCTCAACTCTTTTCATTCAAATTTATAAAAAAAAAAAAGTCAAATTACAAAGGATTTTGGTTAAAATCATTTTCTTCCTATAGTCAGCAGAATTTTAAAAGGAAGCAACAAAAGTACATTGATTTAGTTCATGAAATCACACTTAAGTACAAAACTAAATATGTGCCCTTCCTGCAAGTCTGACTATTTTTTGTAGATCATTTTGGAAGGAAATTTTACAAATGAAACTAAACAAGACAACCAATATACGTTCCATTTTTGTTTGCTATTTTCTTTTCTTAACCAAAATATTACAAGTTCCACAAAATTATTGAAAATTCCCTTAAAAAGACAAATATAAAACTTGTGATGCATCTGGAGCTAAAGTTATACTTTTCACGGTGCAACCTTTAATCTTAAACAAATGTGTATTCCAATATATACCTTTCCACAATTGATATATTCAACAGCAACTTCCCTGTAGAAAAAGTAGATGTGATCATCTACCTCATAAGCTGAGACAAAATCTGGATCTGTGGAACAAAAAAACAAGAAACAATTAACATATTACAATATTTTGCCTGCAGCAATATTCAAATACCAATAAAATATTTATTTAAATATCAATAAAGAGCTGCACCATGAGCACATGATACACCTGTTGATATTTCAACGAATAAAGTACCACAGACGGACAACAGTTTACCACAATACATCCCGTAAATGGGTGTATAAAAACTACAAATTAAGTTAAACTTAATATTTTAGGCATCAAAGATGGAGTCAAGTCAAGAGACATATATAAGACAAGGTTATTGACTGTAATGTTATTTATATAAATTTCATAATCATTTTAACAAAATAAAACAAATATAAATCATCAACAAATTCATCTTTTACAAGTGTTCTTACTGACTTAGTTTCCTTCATTTCCTTAAATATGTTTACTTAAAGAAAGAGAGGTTAACTTCTTACCATTTAACCATTTAGAGTTATATTGCTTGGTCCTTAAAGGTCTGCTACCCATTGGTCTATAAATAGCTTTATCTCTGCCTTGTATATCTAACACTGTGCCACTATAGTACATTTTATCCTTTGTCAAGACTGCTGTTGAATTGTGGTCTGGTGTAAATGGACAATATCCAACTGCATGGAATTCATCTTGCTCTATCACAGTCAAATTTTCTGCCTGATCACAAATAGAGAATTGTTGCTTTAGAAAATTTTTCAGCAAAATAAATCCTCTTTAATGTGTTTGTACTTGTACTACATATTAGAAATCTAACATCAGCAAGCAGGAAAGACATCCAGGATCAGTCAAGACAAATGGAAAGCGTATCTAAGGGTGGTTTAGATATCTAAGTCTTGCACTCTTGTGAGTGTTTGATTTCTTTAACTTGCCTGTTAAATGTTCTATATTCATAAAAAAAAAACATTAAAAAATCACTAAGAAGACTAAGCCTAAAGTGATTTTTCTGGTTTCTCTCAGGTTTTACAAAAAACTTGATTCAAAGAAGTTACAGACTAATAACTGAATAAACTCAAATTTGGAGATTTAGTAATTTCTTTTAGGAGAATGGACCGAATATAAAAAGATTTTTATTGTTTGGTACTTTTTCTATCATGAAAGGATATTATTTCAGATGTTATCAGGAGCTGAAATGTCAAGAGATTTGTATCTCAACATAAAACCAGAGTTATTTCCCTTCCACTACAAGACCCTAACTATTTTGTCTATTTGAAATTTTGAGTAGCATAGGAATCCTAATCTAATAAGTTTGGGGGGAGTCTTAAAATTCATTTATATATATATAATTTTTAAAATTAATTTAAATTGGTATTCTAAATGATATGAGAACAGTCAACAATCCCATATAGAAGGACTAACAAAAACATGACCAAAATAAAAAAAAAAAGACAAACAAGTTAACAAAAAAATTAAATAGAAAACAAGATTGAGCAAAACCAAACTCGCCAAAAACAAAGCTAAACTTAAGTGCTATTGAAGAGTCACAGTTCCTGCTCCATTAGTGACACCCGTCCTGTTTCTGTTATTAAAATCTATTAATCACACACAAATGGCATATACAAAGGCCATAGCGTAATGCAGGTAAATGAGGCAAATACCTCACTTTTGAATGACGATCGGATTTGAGAAACATCTTTTTTTATGAAAAATTTGGCATCTGAAATTATTAATATGAGAGGTCAAGCACAACATTATTTAATGTTTACACAGCATACACAAATTTTCCATTCAGTAGAAACGACAGCTTTACATTATATCTTATAGTAAAGGTGACATGGACTTGCATACAAATTGTGTCTGCAATGAGGACAAGTCATACTTACACTTCTCCAGATACATTTTGGTTTAAATGCATATGTTCCACATGTAAACAACGAGTCTCCATGAACAAAAACAACTCTTATAAAGTTGTGGCAAGTTTCCTGTAACAGAAACAACATTGTAAACACTACAGTAAAATTCAGTGACACAGAGTTCAGGTTTCAGCTATAAGTTTTTATTTGAAATTCTTTGATAACTGATACAACCCTCATTATGGATCAATAGAGGTAGTAATTATAAGATCTACAACAGTTATCTCAAAAACTTCTACATATAAAAAACCATGTACTTAAACATGTTGATCAAACCATATAGCGTAAGATGTTATCAATTTAAAAATTGTAGCCCTGTGTCTTGTGATCTGTAGAATTAGTAATGATATAAGTCAAGTATTCTGTACTTCTAATACTAAAGGATATCTTAGTGCGACTACTTTGATACAGATTTGATCCTTTTTATTTGCAGGGCAGATCTATTGTTTTGTGAATTTGATAGAAAAAAGCTGGAAATATTGATCACATTTTGTCAGTATTAGTTTGTACTGTCTTTGGTACAGATTTTTACAGTAATATGGAAACAAATTTAGTTAGATTAAAAAATCAAGACAGATAAACAATAAGACACATTGATTTTTGGTGTTGGTAAGTCAATGATGTATACCACACATCTAATTTTATTTCTACTTTTCAGAAGTGCATTAGTAAAACAGAAAAGATAATTTGGGAGAGGAAGTTGTTGGTTTCAAAAAAATAAATACTATCAACATTTGAACATTAGGCTATGAATAAAATCTATTTTGTAAAAGTATAGCTTGGTATTATACTTGAAAAAAAATGACAGTTTTTAATACAAAGATTTATAACAATCTGTTCTATCTATGATCTGTATCATGATGATAAACAACCTCTGGTTTGTACTGTCTTGTAAACATTTGAAAATGATTAAATCAAAATTCTTGCAATAGAAAGGTTACTGGACAAACTTGTGGAGATACCATACAGATATCTCTTTACACAGTATGAAAAACCATAACTTATCCCATAACACAACTTATGGATTATAATGATCGCAAAACTATCATGTGCTTGCCAAAGGTTTAAAAATTTATCACTGTTCTGACAAACTCAAAATAAACTTTTCACCTTTCAATACCAGTTAAACAAGGGCCATGGCTAAAACTGATTAGCAAAGAAAATATTTTAAGAAAAAAAGATTTGTTCACAACTATTAAAACTGCCATAATGATGTAGTCCTGGGATGTTGCTGTGGCAATATTATTACAAATGTCAATGTGAACAGTATATGAAAGGATTATAAGATACCATTATCTTATGAAGATAAATATACTTCCCAACTTCAAAGCTCAGCATAAAGGCAACCAAAACCTCAACTGAGAATGTCCTTCAAAACAACTTCCTGAAACTTTTTGACCTTGAAATCTACAGGTAATTGTTAAACATATATATCAATACATAAATATCTATTAAATTTCCAAATGCCTAAGTCACAATGTTAGGCTCTCTATGATTATTAGTATTAGTAGGAAATATTTGAATCTCTACAACTAAGTCCTTTTTTTATTCAATTATACTGGGTCAACAGTTTTGATTTTGCAGTCAATATTCAGAGTGTGGTATGAAACTGTATTTGAATTGCATCTCATCACTATACTTTAATGAACTAAAATGTAGTTATAAGTCTACAGGCAAAATAAATTTAGCCGAGAAAAGTACAATTTTTATGAAGTCCAAGGGCCCTAATTTTGTGAAAAGTATGTCATCAGACCCAAAAACCCTGAATTGATCTAAAACATACCATTAAATAATTTTAAACCAAAATCAGTTCAATATATACAGGCCTAATGAAAATAGTTTGGACAAAAGTCAAATTTCAGAATGACAGAAAGAAGGAAGGACTGATATTGGTAACAATATATGCTGTGGCCACTAAGTTGATGGGTGATAAATACAATTGTTCCAAATTTAAACAGTAGGTTAAGGACTGTTGATGAAATCTGCTTGTATTCCTGACCAAGTTCTGACAGGATCTGTCCTACAACAAGATCAATTTCTAGCATCTAAAGAACCTAGTATATTTTTGTGATACTATCTGAAGCAGAATCAAAAGAAACCACACTGCTTGTGAACTTTTTATCAATTACCCTCTTTCTAGAACATATGGGTTAATTGAGTTTTGAGAAATGTTTTTAAATGTCTTGTGGTTTGAATTAATTACTGATTTTAACATTTAGATCATACAAAATTAATGCCTATGTTAGTATCGTAAGTAATATAATGTTCTAAAAAGTTCCCAGACAAACCACAACATAGCAGTTTTGTGACATGTCTCATAGAATGCCATTCACTTCAATGTACTCAAATATTTGAAATTGTTAACTTTCATCCAGATACATTAATCTTGACAATACTTGACACTAACTGTAGGAACCATTATGTGTTGCCTTCAAAAGCATGGCTGCTACGTCACTATATAAATTCATAACCTGCTTTTAGGCAAAACAAGAGTCCACACGCCTCAAATGTCTCATATGCTTTGCTGATCATAATTGAATTTATATTGAAAGTCTATAAAAACCCTGCCAGACCCACATGTACACCAACTCGCTATTGTTCCATACCTCAAATGAAGCTGACCTATTGCTTAAAGTATCTGAGAAACTGAGTTAACAGTAAAAATTAACATAGACCAATGAACCATAAAAATGAAGTCACGGTATGATGAAGCCTGTCAGAAGGACATGTACACTTTACAATCATTTCATACACCAAATTAAGTTGACTTATTGCTTATTATATCTGAGAAACAGACCATTGGATCCACAAAATACTACCATGAAAACATGTCAAGATGAAATGAAACCTGCCGACAGATATATAAAATACTACCATGAAAACATGTCAAAATGAAATGAAACCTGCCGACAGACATATAAAATACTACCATGAAAACATGTCAAGATGAAATGAAACCTGCTGACAGACATATAAAATACTACCATGAAAACATGTCAAGATGAAATGAAACCTGCCGACAGGCATATAAAATACTACCATGAAAACATGTCAAGATGAAATGAAACCTGCCGACAGACATATAAAATACTACCATGAAAACATGTCAAGATGAAATGAAACATGCTGACAGACATATAAAATACTACCATGAAAACATGTCAAGATCAAATGAAACCTGCCGACAGACATATAAAATACTACTGTGAAAACATGTCAAGATGAAATGAGACCTGCTGACAGACATATAAAATTAAGTTTTCCTTATTTGGTTCTGTTTTTCAGGACTATAAGCATTAGATCAACAATATTTTGCACATTATTCAATCAAGGTGATGGGTACTATTGGACAATATACATGAATGCACAAAATAAAAAATCCATTTCACAACTTTTTTGATAGGGTATAATAAATCAAGGGACATAACTGGTAAATATGGATGTAAATCTGATCTAATTCAGGAATATGCATGATCAGGGTACAGGTGTGATCATACAGGTATGATCAATTTTAGTTATTCCATACCTCTGTCTGTCCTTTAAACAAACACAGTTGTTTATTGTCTTCATTTGACTTCCATTCTGCTTTCTCCAAGGTCTCAAGGTCATCTAGGTCAAGTCGTAACAAGATATCTCTGAAATGAAATATCCTTGAGTAAAAGTTAAAGTACCGTGTTTTTCTATTTTTGTGGATTTTTATTATGACAGGCCATTATTCAATGAATTTTGGGCAAATTAATGGGTAAGGCAAGGTATCTTCTAAAAGAAGTTAACTCTTGTTAATTCTCCGAGAACTGCATTATTGTACAAAAGTCATAACTGGAAGTTGACATTTGCCTGTGCTATTGATTGGAATTAAATTTCTTTTCAGATATGTATTCATAACTTTCAAAGTGAAATGCAAAGACCCTTCTGCATTATTGTACAAAAGTCATAACTGGAAGTTGACATTTGCCTGTGCTATTGATTGGAATTAAATTTCTTTTCAGATATGTATTCATAACTTTCAAAGTGAAATGCAAAGACCCTTATCTAAAGAAGATTGTATCCATTGTGGAAGAACAAATTTTACCTTGATCCAACAATGAGCTGGTTTCTGGGTAGATCTACTGTCAGCTGTACAAATCCTGCAAGATCTGCATGTTGGAATGTCTTAAATGTATCATTATCTTTAAGTAAATCTGAAATAAAGACAAGATTATGAGTGTTCCTGGTGAGGGTAAATCTAGAGAAGCACTTCAGACACCCAAAATTTATAAAGTGTTTTAACATACAAACAAAATATGCATTTTGTTGACCGAAAATGCAATGAAATCAAAGCATTATAACCTCAGTAAAAAGGACTTTTCCCATGAATGAGATAGACAAATTGTGATAATACACCACAACCATGTAAAAAAATATACACCACAACCATGTAATAAAATATACAGAGTGCAACAAATATAAAAATGTTTGTCTTTAATTTAGACCTTGCAAAAAATTGGAATATGTGGAATTTCCATTAATTTTCACAGTAAATGTGCTCTTAGAGAAGCTGGTAAAGCTATTAGTTCCCTGTGTTGTGTTATACTACGTAATTAAGTCTATGCAGTCTGCTGAGCCTTCTAATTTAACTCTTAAGATATTGTATAATACCTTACATTATAACAGAAGTGTAGATACAAAGTAGGTCTTAAATGAAGGAATTTAATTATATAAATATCTCTCTGAGAATCCAACTGACATCAGATACTAACCAAGATGTGATCAAGATATTACAGAAAATGCATTAGTCAACAGTCAATTAAAGTTTGTTTTCAACACCTTTCCTCCTTTTTTTCATTTAGAGGACAAATATTTAATCTACATTAAGCTTAAATTGCTAAAATGCAAACACCTAAAGCACAAAAAGACTTCAATTACTGTCCATTTCAAACCAAATAACTGATGAACATTCAAATAGTGCTTGCATACTAGATAAATATGAGACAGACGTTCTAGTTCAGTACATAAAATACAATTCTTAAGGGAAAAAAATCCAAAAATGTCTTGTAGATCTGTTAAACATAACTGTTTGATATACTTTACATGACAAAATCCCTATCATACAGATTTATTTGAACAAAAACAAAATCATTAGTTATAACTTAAAAATAACCATACCACAAGACAACATATTTCTCAGATATATATCAGCATTCAGATACAATAGCTATATATATATATGCCCATATTTAATCAAACTTGCAGTTTTTGACACATAAGAAAATTTAGAGTAAATTTGATATGACAGCCATTTAAACTGGGAAATGGAACTCAAGAAGGGTGAGCAGTTCCTGCTCCACTTAGGACACTAGTCATGTTGATCACATAAGGTGATGTTATAAAGGATGACTTGATTGTGTCTACAACAAAGGAATCACATATATATAGGTGGTCATTAATGATCACAATATTCAGAGATGACTTCAATTTTACCATTTTCTTTTAAACAACCCTCTATCAAATCTTAATGAAAATGCAAGCACTAGAATACTACATCAGCCACAATATAGAATGTGCTGCTGGAATGTTGTTACATAAAGAGGGAAAGTTTACAGTGGGAAAAGTCATTCCTTTTGTCATCAAGTTAAGATCTCAACAGACATGTTCTTCAACAGGATAAAGCAGACATTAAAACCATTTTTTACCACCATATTGTATTTAATGAAAATAAAGATTCTGATCATTTATGTTATTCTTATTTCATATTCTTATAATAATCTCTAGGTTCTGATTATTTCAACATAACTTTGAATTTGATAAACGTAAATGTTTTCAAGGAAGTATTAAAATCAGCTGGATCTGGATAATTGTTTTGCTGACAATGTTTTATTTCTTTGGCATTGCTTTAAACATAACATTGTAATCAAGAGTTATAAAAATCAACATAGGTAACCATCCCACCTCACACCTGTTGACAGAACAGGAAATGACATCATCACAGGTGCTTAAACAGCAAAACATATACTGCCAACTCAATCTGATACATGTAGCACGATCAGATTTATACAAAAAAGATTAACCAACAAGTACTGACTGTATAATTGTTGATATAATTGTCAAGTGCTGTTTTTTTGCTGCATAAGTGAATGTATAAATTTTCCACTTACTTCTAACATGGAATAAAAAAGAGATTCATTAATTTAATTCAATCATCATGATACAATATTCTACTGAATATGTTTTTTGTAAGGTGAAATTGAGTTATAGGCATTTTTACCTTCCTTACTCTTGAGAGGGACCCTTGTTTATATTGGATACCTAAACTTCGGTACATTGCAGGCTCATCTGCATGGTCTACAAACTTTCAAGGAATTGTCCATTAGATTAACAAAAACTCTGTCCGCAGTGAAAGAGGGTCTTCAGAAATATTGTGAAATTGTTTACTCATGTTGTGGTATTAACCTTATGAGGATTCTAAAAAACTCTAAAGAACTTCTGAATAATTTTAGACATCGATCTTTCTTTGATATTAAAAATCAAAACAATTGCTACATTCTGTAGTATTTTTTCCATACTATGTTTGCAGTTTGCTAATGCAGATCTAAATTAATGTACCTAAATATCAATTTTGGTTTTGTTTTGTGTCTTTTCATCTTTCCAAAGGCTTTTTACTAAATTTGTATTTAAATAGGTTTGCTCCACCCAAGATATGAAAAACATTAAAATTTCTACACCTGAACAGAATGTCAAGATCACCTCATTAGATATCCCAATTATCTCCAGTAAATTATATGTCATTTACAACTTTATTGCTGTCTATGTCAGTCAGACTTTTCAATTAACAAACAAAATTTCCTTTGAATTGTATACAACATGTTGGACATGCTTATTTGCATTTGTGAACATTAAGTAATAGTTAGTATATAAAGCAGATGGTAAATCTATTTATATGTAAATCATTCCTGCTATGGGTCGAAGTTTTCCTCATAAAATACATATTAAAGATACTATTTTGTAACATGGTACATGCACTTATTTTTTCTTCAATCATCTTGTGGTTATGATATTACTGCAACACTGGCAAATTTTCAAAAATATTATGCAAAATCATTTTTTCATTTATTGCTCTCCTAGCTGCAGATCAATCTTTTTTCCAAATGCAGAAAAATAAGTTAAGCATCATCTTATCTGCCTAAAAGTAGCAAGTGCTTCAAGGGGCATAATTTCAAATTCAAATATTTTATTGGATAAAGCACATATGACAAATATGACATTGCGTAATCCAAGTGTGCAACTTACATGACATATATACAACATGACAAATATAAATGTAAATAAAACATAATGCATAATAATTTCATTTCATTATTAAAAGTAAGTCAGCAAAAGAAACTTCAAGTATCCTATGAACAGCATAGCAGACATCGGTTCAGTAATTTTTAGGTGAACATTCTATTTTCAAATTATAAGGGCTCAAATCTGGTTTTGCAAGGCATTTGGTATCTGAAAAATGAACTTCAGACATTAAAAAAAGCAACAATAGATCACAGTACCATTATCAACAATGAGCAAAACCCATACCATACAGTTTAAGCTATAAAAGGCACCTATATGACAAAATGTGAAACAAGTCAAAAGATAAAACCATCAACCTAAACAATTAACAAAATTCAAATATGGGAGACAGCAACTAATGAAAACCACTGAATTACAGGATCCTGACTTGGGACATGCACATAAAGAATGATGCAGGATTAAACATCGTAACTCAATACAAATAAAAAATATTTTAAAGCAGTTGGTACCCTTGAAACACAGAGGACACCCAGAAACTAGAACCTTGCTTGTAGAACAAGATGTTTTCAGTCTTTGAACCACTCCTCAGCACATTTTGTATACATATCTTCTTGCAGCTTGCACATTTTACCCAAGTCATTAATTTTACTAACCTTTCAAAGAAACAGAAAATTGTTTGATGTGTATAATTCAAAAAGCTCAATTTGTTTAAAACATGCTTATGTATTTTTCCTATCATCTTTATGTATTCTTGTATTAAGATAAATCTATTTCAAATGCAATGAATTTTTAAATCCATTTAAATTTAACTACAAAAATATGTCAATTCAACTAGATAAACTATTCATGTGCATCATAACCTTTCACCAAATATGTAAAATTGGCAAGATTTAGTCTTTTTAGCTCATCAATTTAAACTACTGTATATGTTCAACTAGATTTTAAATAAACAGCAGGAAACATCTGTTTCACTGCCAAATTTGTAACTGCCAACTTTTTCTTCTTTTTTAAATCTGAGAATGAATTGGCATAATGTGGACAGTATACTGACAGTTTGGTAATACCATGGAACATTGGGTATATCTCATTTAAGATAAACGACGAGTGACTCATTCATATAAAACATGTAAATTTAATTCATTAATAAAATCTATCCAATGAATTCATTTCATAGTCCAATTTGTTGACCAACTTTTAAAGCAGTACAAGACCATTATATAACAAGAAGGTGATGAGTTACGTACATCTATACTTTTTAAATAGATAATCTTCCCCACTTATGTACTTTTGTTGTATTTCTAATAAGAGATGTTTGATATAATGAGATAATGATTATGAAAATAGATATAAAATATTTGAATAATTTTATATATAAATGAATGTTCTTTTTGGTAAACTTTGTTGGAAGTTGTAGATCAAAACCGGGATATTATCTGTCAATATATTCCAAGTATCCACACAGTTAAGAGTACTACAAATAGACAAAAACATGGGTAATTCTCACTTTTTGCAATATACTTATTACTTTCAAATAAGTTTTTATTCAAAAAGAGGATGAATACTTGATTAGGCAGTGACACAATCTCTCAATTGGACACCTGTCACCACAAATTACCAACATTATGCTTGAACATTAAAATCTTAAGTGTTCTCATTCTTATTGAAAGACACAAAGGAGTTGGTTCACTAACTCATAATTTTTGCTGTAAAATCTGAAAATTTTTATCTTCGATAATGTTGTGAAAATTTGATCAAAACATATGGTAAAATGTCTCATTCAGTTTCAGTGAAAAAGGATTTTCACCAATTGTGTCATTAGTGATGTATGTATTATGTCATAAATGCATGTGAATTTCGTTAAAACCTGATTTTTTGCATAATTCAGCATAATTTATAACAGTTTTCTAAAAAATTAACA